TAATTGTATCCTTGTTTTAATGAACGGTAAAGATAAAATAAGCAAATAGCACTAATAACTTCTCGAATGCAATTATAATATGTATATATACATAATAATTGAATTACATATAATATATGTTATTTATTTTCTTACATATGGCCCACTGCAAATGATTATACATACATCGTTATACATACATATATGTATTAAAAGTGTTTCAAAATTTGCGCCCACGAAGTACAAGGCGTGATACTTTATGTTAAAACAAACAACTTTTTCCTTTAACAAAATTGCGTCCGATAAATAATTTTTGTGCTTATTTATTAACTTCAACCTCTCTCCTGCAAAAACTACTTGTTTATTTACAAACTGTGTCGGTATTATCTTTTTTGTTTTTATCTTCTTAAATAATTTGTGTTATCTTCTAATATTCATCTTATATTAAATTAAACGTACATTTAAATACTATTTAAGACACGTTAAATTCAACCCAAATTTTCGATTGTTATACATAAAATAATATTTATATAATTTATTAAGTGCAGCGATGAACATTAAATTTAATACAGTATATTGTAATTTGTATCTGAAAAAAAGTGATGTTATGTTAATAGCATTATTTTTATTGAAAATAATCTTGTTAATTTAGTAACACTATTAATGAAACAAATACGTCATGCTCTTGTTTTAATAAAATTTAATTTGTTTCCTTACTCTGTTATTAAATCAAGATTATTTTCAATTAAAATAATGCTATTGATACAACATTTTTTTCAGTAATAGAGTATAAATTACAATATATACTATATTATGCATTCGGAAACGTATTAGCAGCGTTATTTGTATTATTCTTAATCTCATTTTATGTTTAATGAATGATAAAAATAAAATGACATAAAACTACAAAAATACAAATCTTGCTCTGTCTGGGAAAGTATAATCAAACTGTTGATTTAAAGAGCGACCACCCTCGATCAGAGTGCTGATTTTTAAGAACATAGACACGCGCCACCCGCAGCATACGATATGCCCCTGATGGAAATTGATTCGTCAACAATTCAAGCAAGATCGACATGAATCATTCGGAAAGAACAGTTAAATGAATTCTCGTCGACGCGCAACGTTAACTATGCGGGTACCAACTAGTCATTGGGGGAGATTACCGGGATAGATAATTGGTTAATGACTCCCGCTATTTTCAGCACGCTACGATAAGATAATATAAGGACGGTGATCAATTTATTTTTACCCTATACCAGAGTTATTTCGCGACAGAATTTTGTCTATCAATCATGAAAGTTTTGCATGTTGATATAATGCAATCCATCAGTTTTAGTGTATTTAAAAGTAATCGACCAGAGATAAGATCTTTAAATAGATTTTAAAATAAACAACATAGAAAAATGTGCTATTTGAAATAAAAAGTAATTTATCCTGTAATTTCTATTAATTTATAATTATTTTAAAAGATAACTGCGTTTTAAAAGAAAACATTTAATTTGTAATGGAGACAATGGCGAAAGTTTGATGTAAAAATTTAAAATTTTGCAATTTTTAGAAAACAAAGTCCATTTTTTCTTAATTTCTTCTTTCAGTTCAAATATGATGTTTATTTTATGTTCTTCTTTCTATTATATATTTCTTCTTTCTTATTATATAAGTAGTTTATTAATTTAATATATGATATTATTATCTAGTTCCATTCATGATTGCATTTTAAGACCGAAAAAGATCTTGACGCGCTGTTTGCAAGAATTAAATATGTAGGGGAAACTCAATGGGTCATCGATTATTTAACATAATTTAGAATGTTTAAATTAATCCTACTAATACAATATAACTATTACTTCGTTGCCCACTATTTATTTAGGTGGCAGTGATTAAATTCCATTGTATCGAAAAGCATTGAGCATTAATAGTTTTCGTGGTGTAACAGTAACTTTTTAACCGCATAAAAATGTTTTAATATTGTTTTTTTAGTAGAAGATACATGTATGAAGATAAGGTGCAAGTTTCTGCGCATCTTTTTTCAACTTACTATTAGTAATAATCTAACATTTATTTTTATAGTTTTCTATTAAATGTATAATTATATGTATAATTACATACTACGGGTCATGCATTAAATATTCATGATGAGACGAGACAATATAGAAAATATATGTACTAAAAAAGGGCAGTTTATATTTCTAAGCAATTAATTTTATTTTATCCTAATAAATTTTTTATCTTATATTAGTGGTTATTTCTTATTTGTTTTCTTATAATTTTCTATTTTATTATTTAATAATTATTAATTATAATCATTATTTTATTGTATTAATAATTATGCTAAGAATGCATAATGTTGTAATTAAAAAAATACTTTTCAACTTTCGTCACCGTTATTTCTTGCATAATTCTACTATTTTGTATGTGATTTATAGTAAGTACTATGGGGATCATATCTTAAAAAATGTTATTATTTTTTTCTTAAAAACAAATAAATATTTACTAAATATACTTATTAAATTTTAAAATATGCATTATGCTTTAATTATTAAAAAAAAATACGATACAAACAGTTTTATATTTAGATGCACTTTCAAGAGTTTGAATTTTTGTGACTCAACTTTTTGGTACCCCGGTCTCTCCTATATAAATTAATACACTTTGAAATATTTATTATTTAAAATACTAAGATCCGTTTTGATCAAAAATATTTCTTTTAATTGATTTATTCTCGTTGGTCTAATACGAATTTCTTCTTTCTCTTTTACGGTATTTAAAGATCTGTATAGTACTTGAAGAGTACCGCACACACAAACATATTTTCCTTATTACGACAGCCCTAAACATCTTTATTATTTTTAATTTAAAGAGACAAAAATGTATCTATTGGAGGCAAAAAAGTAGTTTGAGTTTAAAGGGACTTGTAAAAATTTCTTTCCAAGATTACAATTTTCCTGACTTTAAATTTAACGACTTTTTTAAACTATTCCATATTCTTTCTTTTTTTTCTTTATGTAACTCGATTTCTATGCTTGTCGCGATCCATGATTATTGTAATGCCATGATTACTTATTATTTCCGATAAGGCAGATGGCCGGAAATACAGTCCAGTTTCTCGATGCGGCATGGGTAGTTATTTATGCAACACTTAGCGCGCGACCCAAAGGGTGGCTGCCGAATCTGGGGTGGGAAACAGTGCTTTGGCATTTTTGCATCCCCTGCATTCTCACGCGAGCGCTGATACGAATGGAAGGCTACCTGTGCGAGAGTATAATTTTTCAGACAGGTATGTACACGTGTATGATTCGTTTATTTTCATGGATTTAATTGTAACATTATATAATATATTATAATAAACAAAAAGGCACGATGTAACTGACAATTGTCTTGTTAAATTAATTTGTAAATTTACACGTACTTGCTACACAGATATATTTACAGTAAGTCATCGCAATTATTTATTGAACACAAAATTCCGAGTGAAGTGCATAACAACAATAAATTATTGATAATAAAAAATGTGAATTATTATAAATTGTGAATTATCAATTTAAGAACTGAGTTATATTAAATCTTTCGAAGTTTCTTATAATTAAATAAAGAGTTAAGTATAAATTTCGCGATTGATTAAAATAAAGTATTTCAAGTAAATTTCATTTTTTTATGTGTTCAAAATAAAGTAAAGTCATTACATAAAATTATTTCTATTTTTGATAAAATAGAAATATATCTCAAACAACATAATCTTTGCATCTTTCTACGAAAATATTAATTTGTGAATTATAAATTATTGATTTTCTAAATTATTTTTTAATTTATAGATTCCAATAATCTTTTATAAATTCACAAATTTTTATTTTATTCCGATTAATTAGCAAAGATTAATATCTTTTTTCTCGATTTCTATACCAAGAGAGATTAAAGATTCGCAAGTTTTTTTAAGATTCATAGCCTATTTCGCTTAGTGAATATCGTATAGTGAATTTGAAAGGAGAGCATTATTTCTTGAACCCTTCGACCTCGCGACCCTCTAGGCCTGACCCTGATCCAAACTATGGGTGCTATTGCACAGTCGCTTGGTTTCGTACATTTCTATACTCACATCTGCTTTATGTTCTCACGCTATTTTCCTTCCAGCTTAGAATCTCCGAGTAACGGCGATAAGCTTTCCCAAGCAGAACAAAAAATTATGATAATATAAAAATGACGTCAAACGACTCCAAAATGATTATTAAATCATTTCTTGATCATGATAAAAAAATGATAAAAAATGTAATTTCAAAATTTAATTTAGATACACTGTTTTAAATATTTTACAATAATTTATAATATTATAACTTATAAATTAATATCTACATGTTAAAATTGAATACATAGCATACAAGTATGTTGTTAACAATATATGAACTGAATATAATTTTGCTTAATTAAAAATATTCTGATCAATAATCTCTTTCGACAAAACATGCAAATAATGATTGTTTGTATTGACGTGTAAAGATACGTCCATTGAATTACACAATTAAATTTTTAAGTATTATAATATATGATAAGTATATGTATATGATAAGTATGTTTTTATTTCGTGTACATGTGAAATAAGAGACTCTAATAACAATTATTTTTTTTCCGGAACAGAAGCAAAATTATACTTTTTTCGCACACTACTATTCGTTTTTGTTTGATAATAAAAATAATATGCAGGATTCTTCCATGGATAATTAATAATTAATAGCAATAAATAATGATACTTTTAAATTATCAGAATTATTTTTTTTTGTAAAGACATGTATATTAATATTTTTAAGATATTTAATACATACAACTAAATGAAATTATAAAATAAAAAATATATTTTATTTCGACTTATGATACGACATTTACGATTTTTATTCTTTGTCTCTTTTTAATCCTAAACTACAATAAAAAAATTTTGCAGCAAATTTTCATAAATAGTAAATAATTATTTTGAACAAGGAATAAGGAAGTGTAAATTGATACAAAAAATCAATAAATGTAACAAATAATACGTTATTTCAAATGTTTTAATATTTAATAAATCATACATAAGATTCGGGAAACTCGAATGTTACGTCTCGTCCAGTCAATTGTTTATATACCGAAGCGAAAGTATCGACCTGTCAAAAGATGAATTAAAATTTAAATCACATTATAATGTTAAATAAATAAAGTGTAGAGAAAATGGGCAGAACTCAATAAAAATACCTTGTGTTCAATATTCGTTTGTTCATTTTTGTCCAAATGAACTTTGATAACTTGTGAGCCATCAAGTTTTACTCGAATTCGTTTACCCACAATCTCTACAGGATAAACAATATCCTCCAACAAAGCGTCATATACCGAAGTTAACGTACGACTAAAATATAAACATAGATTATACAACGTTTAATCAGAATTCAAAATAGTGCACATATTGAATATTAAAATAATCGGTTTTTACAGATAAATAAAATAATAATAATACTAATAATGCAATAACTGTAGATGTAATAACTACTGTTCTCTTTAGTTGGACTTCTTATACGGTACAATTTTCTTTTGTTTAAAATAAATCATGCAAAAAGTGGTACAATTCAGCAAAAAAAGAATAAGGCCAAAGTCTATTTTTTGAACTTCTTGCCCAACTTTCTCTTTTTTCCTCTCAAATTATAAAAAGAAAAAAGAAAGATAACTGTACAAAAAATTCAACTAATGTCCATTTTTTATCAATATAGTTTAATTTTAACCTCGGTTCAATTAATCTTTCATTTTTTTCTAATTCTAAGAATTAAAAAAGATAAAGAGTAAATCGAACCAAGATTAAAGTTAATTGATAAAAACGGGCATAAAAAACAGACTTATAATTAAATTATACTTGTCAAATTATATAAAAACAAATATTACATTTTCATTTTCTTACCTTCTAGGACGCTTCTGCTTGTTCTTTGTACGCGTCTTTCTCGTCGGCTTCGGTAAGATTTTACGTTCACCAACGAACATTACATGCTTGCCAGAGAACTTCTTCTCCAGCTCGCGTACTAACCTCGTTTGAATTTTTTGGAAAGCCTTCAGTTTTGGCATCGGTACATATATGATAATCGACTGCAAAAAATACAAGCGATTCAAATTTTTTTCAAGAGTATTAAACAGAAAGATACACATTAACATACAACACAGAAGCTTGCTGCAACATTGCACCATTTATTTATATTTATAATCAGACCTTAGATTTAAAGTTTCCTTAAATTTATCTCTAGATGTTCAGTAATCAATAAAATAATTTGTAGGATATTTGAAGATAAATTTAAGGAAGCCTTAAATATAAGACTTTACTATGAATATAAGCATTAGTCTGTTTTCTGTGCCTAAATTAGTATATCCTTTTGAAGTTTAAAGTGAAATAGATATATTTATATTTGGTAAAACAGGCTTGTTCAATTTGAACTCCAGAGCAAAGCCATCGATGCAAAAAGATTCAATGTGGATAAGATTTTGGAGACTGTAAAGTATTGATAAGCATGTAAGTGATGCTTATCAACAGTTTATAGTTCTTAAGATCTTACATTGAATTTTTTTATGTCAATTTTTTTATGTCAAATGGAAGAGTGCAGTCTAGTACAGGAATAAAAAAACAGAACTATCACTGGAATGATTCATACTGTACGAACTGCATGAAGGAATTGAAGTTTACCTTCTTATTGTTTGTTTCTAATTCCTTCGCCTTGGTGATGTAAAGCTCCCTTAAATGCGACTTCAGATCGCTGTTCATCTCCAGTTCCAGAAGAGCATTGGAAATGCTCGCCTCAAACTGATCGGGTTCCGAGCCACCGCTCTTAATTATCTTTGCGTTAGCCGTGAACATCTGAAAGAGATTTCGAGGTTAGGACATTGTTTACAAGTAACACCCGACGTCCGCGCGAGACATTCGTCGGGACATCGAGTGACAGAGTCAACAACTCCAGCGTGGATTTCGCGGAGACTCCGGGGATTGTCCTCCTGACGTGAGAATAATCGTCGATAACGCGGCAGCGTGGCATTATGGTAAACGCGAGGATTGCGGAAACCGACGAAATCCGTCGTAATCACGCCTTCGACGCGCGATCTGGGAAAGATATCAATCGCTTCACGTATCACGGACTGTCATGAACTTTCTGACGTCGCGCGACGCAAGATTTCATACATCGTTATACATAATAAAAGGCCGCAAAGCTAAATGCTCGAAAATGCCCACCTTGTCCACCTGGCTACCACATGAAAAAGAAGCCGAGATAAAAAGATTACTAGAACGAATCTTCGTATGTTTTTCCAGTTCACGAGTCACTAGTATCGACATCGACTGGCCACGTGGTCCTTTCGCGCCAAGCCTTAAAGCCCACTCTACAAATGTGTGTTCTCTGCTTCTTTATTCTTAATTTTTACTACTTTTTATCTTTTGCCTCTTTTGCTTTTTTATTTTTTTTCCTGTTATTTTTCATTGGAAAAGTTTGTGCAATAAATGAAAGACTATTCAGAATTATTTTGGAGAGAGGACTATTTTTCGGACTACATATTTAAAATCTTACTCCGACAGCCAATCAACACATGCGAGAATCTCACGTAAGATTTTCTAATGCGACTGTCCATCTAAATTTCAGATACGCTTTGCTCTAATTACGAAAGAAATATCTGTTTTCATGTGTTAGTGTTGTTTTGCGAAATTCTTTTTTGTTGAATTTCAAATGTTTCTCTAAATTCAATAATTCTATGATTTTGTGTAGTCTCTTAATGAATAGTGTCATATTTTTTTAATCTGCTCCAAAAACGAGGCGAGAATACTTGTTTTACAATATATTTAAATTTTTGAACTTCTAAACATTAAAAAATTTGTTCAATCACTGTATGGACATTATCTAATCAATATATTTTGTTGTATAATTATACTTAATTGTATATATAATGAATAACAGCAACACGATGGATGCAGTAAATAATCTGCATGATTTTCCAAGTACAGGTATAATTTGTGATAAATGAAAGAAGTTTGAATGTATACTCTGAGAAAAATATAGTTTTGACAACTCCTAAATTAACTCTAATAATTTAAGTACTTGCAACTAGTTTTACAAAGTAATAAGAATTAAAGTAGTATCAAATACTATATTTTTATAGTATTTGGTATTACTTTAGTTCTTATTACTTTTTAAAACTAGTTGCAAATATTTAAATTTTAGCATTGTACTAGTTACCACATCTATTTTTTTCCTCTCAGTGTAATAATATTTATTTACAATGATTATTTTCTTATAAAAGTAGCACTAGTGGAAAGAAATACTATGCCACAAGGCATATCGTTGGTTGATCCAGCCGCTGTAGCAAAATCAAGTAAGCAAGATTTAATGGCACTAGTTACGGAAATTGAAAAGGTAATATATGATATCTGCGTAATATTTATAATTAAATTAAATTATTTATATTTTAATTATAACGGTTTTGTTATATATTTACTAATTTATATTTTTTTTTACAGGCAGATAACTGTGTAAGAGCTAATGCATGTAACAAGTTACAAGTAATCGCAGAGCAAATTAGATTTCTGCAAAAACAGGCTGAGGGTATTTTGTTGGAAGCGGAACGGAACGCTAAGTTGCATCATGTACCTTGCAATTTTGTGAAACAACCTGGTCACATCTATCATTTGTATCAACGAGAATCAGGACAGCATTATTTTTCCATGCTTAGTCCAGAAGTAGATATCTTTGTATCATTAAGTATTTTTGTAAAATCTTGTCTAACTTTTTTTATTGTATCTGTAGGAATGGGGTAGTTTGGCTCCCTCACAGAATTATATGGGTTCGTTTAGATTAGAACAAGATCGCTCATGGACCCCACTGTCTCAACTACAGGCGAAGAACGACGAATTGAAATTGATCGGAAAATTCTTACCTTCCGATACAACTGCGAAAACTTTTTTACAATCTGTCATGTTAAATACTAGCACGTAACGTAATTAATAAATTTATATCGTTAGTAATGAAAAATGTAAACTAGAAAAATAACATATTGCTAGAAAAACAATTTGGCAACTAAATTATTTTAATCTGATAGATTAAGGATCTTTGTTTCAACGAGCAAATTTATTTCATGATATAATGTCGAACTATTTATAGCGTTATTTGTAAATAACACCTATTTGTAAATATACATACATACAAATATACTTCTGTAGGTATATAGAATAGATGATTATATAGATATCTGTTTTATATGATTAGAAATTATATACATAATTTTTTGAAGTTATGTATATAATTATATACACATTATCGTGTCAAAATGATATCTATTTTGTACAAGAATAAATCGTACACTAATACTTTAACTCCAATGTAATAGGATGCAATTAATTAACAAATGTTTTTCTCAATATGTAATAATATGCATATGTAATATAATTCTTGGCTGATTGTTATTTTTTACTCATAATAATCTTTAAATGATTGTTAAAAGATCAATAATATGATTTTTGAAATTATGTTTTCTATTTTATGTGGCATATATGTATGTCATTACATTTCTATAGGCAGTAAATAGATTTGTGTTCAGGTTGACTTTTACTCTAAAATATTTGGAATATAATTTCAATGAGCAAAATGAGTACATCTCAGTTCAGCTCACGATTAAAAGCTTCGTGAGTACAACTGAATATTTATATAAAGATCTATTTTTTTTTCTATAGAACATTTTTTTCGCAAAACTTCTGCGAAATGTAACATATTTAAAATATTTTTATAATTATTTTTAAATAATAAAATACATTTTACTGAAGAAACGACATTAATGTACAAAGTTTAAGGATCAACGAACAATTTAATGTTTTGCCCTTTATGTAAAATTAAACCTCTAAAAATGAACAAATCTATACCAAAGTAACATGTCAATCATTGACGGGAACCGCGACGACTGGTTTTTGATTTCGATGTTGAATCTGTATGTCAAGTAGTATTCACTTTGTGTGCTGAAACATACAAATAATATATTGACAAATCGTTAAATACAAATTTTTTTGTAACAGACAGGCGAACTCTTACACGAGATTGGTATCCTAAGAGGTGCATCATCCTGTATAACGCATTCATGCGTATGAGTATGGAAGAGATACTGTACCAAAAGTTGCTTATCTTCTCCCACACATGGATCATAAAATCCAGGTAATTGGCTCTGCAACAACATACGATTTCATATGATTTACAAATATTTCAATTTTCACTTTATATATACTTTAGTTTATAAGAAATTACGGAGATTAAAGTTTTAACAATCGATAACAGAATGAAATGAGGTAATTGTAATTTTGGGAAAAATAAATACTTAGCTGAAATTGATCGGTCATAGTCGATTACTCTCTTGGCATTACAACTTATAGCTTACTACTTCAATTATAGGAGGTCCTCTTTGTACATTAAATCTTATTTATGTAAAATAAAGTGTCAAATTTTATATATACCAGAAGAGACGGTAGCGTCTCCCGTCAAGTATATATTTGTAGTTATAGTATAGACACACAGAAGATTTTGAAATATAAAATAAGAAATAAGATTTAAATGAAATAAAGACTCTTGACATAAGAGATAAGTTTATAAGAGCGCACCTTAGATGCTTTATGAAGGATCAGTTTGGAATCCTTGACTAAACATTGCAAAGGAATCGTTACATCTATCATTTCGTCTCTGTGTCCGCTTTCGTCCGTGGCAGCTCGATCTTGTGGATAAACGAATCGACCGTACAACGCTTTGGTAATGATTAATCCTTTCTTGGATTCCTCCTCGGCTCTTATCCTGCTGACGGTTTCCTTCATTAGTTCGGTGGCCGCTTTGGCTTCCCTTTGTTTCTCCAACATTCTGGACTTGTTCATCTCTCTCTGTTTCTCCTTCTCGCGCTCTGTTCGCTCTTTCACGACGGGATCGATTATGAGCTTCTTAATGACCGTCCAAGTGATTATAGGTGCTACAGTGGCATAAAAAACCGGAGCTGGAAGAACTTCGTCACATAGATGGATAGGGAACGTGTACGCCTGCGAGGCGCGACTCAATCTAAGTTTTAACGTGACGCCAGTTGGAACACCGATGCGTACAGCCGCTGAGACTGAGCTATGCTTGGAGACCTTCTTTTCCGCGCCATATTCAAGAAACGCACCAAATGTTCCGGCTCTATAAATTATATAGACCAAATTATACATAACTATTAAATTTATTGATAATAGAATAAAAAAACGTTGACAATACTAACTTGACACTACCACGAAGCTTAAGTTGCTTTTCTTCCATTTTGTAAGTATAATTAAGGCTGACAAAAGAATGTAGAAGTCCGAAATGTATAGAAAACGCCGTGTACGATTGAGACGTGTCTCTTACAATCATTGTGCTCATGGCGTCTTGAATGCCAGCTCTGTACGTAAGATATCCCACCGTATGTTTATCCAATTGCATCGCAAGAGCTGTAAATATAACAATTTTGTTCAAGATATCCTTCCATATATAAAACAAATAAATATGTGAATAATATAAGAAACCAAGAATTACATGGTTACAATTATATTATGAAAACCGCAAGTAAACGTACTCCCAACGTAGCCAGCTTTCACGCCATGCGACGTAAACTGCAGTATTGTTGCACCGTCACAAAACAATCGTTTCGTTAATGTGCGAAATGCTTTGAGGGAGAACGTTGGACCGTTGCCAGCTCCGACCTCGACTTCGATCCAACCCTTTGAAGATACCAGCCTTTTCGCTGAAACATTGATAGACCCGGAACCAGTACCGTTTTGGGTTCCTAGTTGACCGGACATAGTCACGGTATCTCTCAGGGTCAGAGGCGCTTCAATAGATTGTGCAAACGACATTCCGCTGACTTCGATGCATGAAAACAGTCCATTGCTGAAACTAGATCCATAACTTTTTAATCAAGGATTATAATTATTGATTTGTTAAAATTTAGTAATACTGTTTAATAATAAATTTCATTATTAAGCAATCTCTTACTGTGTTTTATCATAATAATATCAATGTTTTATCATAATAATATCAATGTAATAATTTAGACTGATCGATCTTACCCATCGCTGTAATCTTCATCGTATTTACTGAAAAGATCGGTGGCATTGATGTTTACCGTTACAGTGCCTTTGGGATTGGTATGCTGCTGCAGTCGTCTCTCCTCTCTCTCCCTTGCCAGCCTCTCGTATTCCTCGCGAATCTCTTGAGGTGTTTTTGTACGCTGTACTATTTCCCATCCTTCTGTCTCCAATCCACGGATTCCCAGCGAGTCGTAAATTGCCCTTTGATGTGGATCGTTCAACACTACAATATCAAG